TATTGCCGAAACTTTGTGGAAGAGAAAATTGTGAAATTTAAACTTTTTATAAGGTAAAAAATGATATAGCAGAATCATGATTTGGATATGAGTATAGCTTCTAAATGACTTTTTAGAGCCCGTTTATACGGAATACTCAAACCATAATCTTTTAATTTTTGACATTTGAAATTTAAATTTTTTATTAGAAAAAAATACTGTAGTAGAATTAGTAATTTAAGTTTGAGTATATAAAAAAAAAAAGACTCTTAATTTTATTTTTTTAATTTCTCTAAATATCCCTTAAAATCACGTGTCTTGGTTGAACATGCGACTAAACCATGGAAAGAAGTTTTTTCAACCACTTATTATCTAAAATAATTCAAGACACCCTTTTAACTTTGAATTTATGATATTATAATTGTATCGAAAGAGTTTGTTAAACGATTTTATATAGTTTAAGAGATGAAATAGACCCTTTTCAAAGTTATAGGCAGGTTGAGCTAAAATATATAATTTAGGGGGTATTTTATAAAATTAATTTTTGTTATTAAAATCACCTAATTGTCTAATGATGGCAACCAAATATTGATAAATTAATGGGAGCTTCTTTAATGGGACTATTAAAAATAAATTATTGATAGTTTTTATTTTCACCTTAGAGATATTGTCTGTTTTATATATAATTTTAATTTAATTTGATTTTAATTTTATCCAATCTTAATAGACGTCCTACTGAAATTATATATTTAGGGGGTATTTTATAAAATTAATTTTTTATACGCAAGATGAAGGCCCCGTTCACTTCGCTGATTCGAGTTTAGAATTCGAGTTTTTCTACAGTAAAAAGCTCTCACAAACAATCACATCTAACTTTTTTGCTACAGTAAAAAGCTCTCACATAAAGTCATATCTTAACTCAAATTCTAAACTCGAATCAGTGAAGTGAACGGGACCGAAGTGTATCATTGATCCGCTTTTCTCATACTTAGGAAAACGTAGAGAACTTTATTGGGATAGCTCAAATTTGTTGTTTTCAAGAAAAAAAAAAAAAGAAGAAAAAGTAGAATAGGATTTGTTAAAAAATGGTTGTTCCATTATTAAAAACTATGTGTTCAAAATATACGGCTTGTTCTTTTAGAGTTTAACTTAAGTATAATTTTTAAGTTAAATTTAAGTTATAATTTAACTCGAATTAACTTCTTTTTAAGTTTTTTACTCAAAAGAACAAACCCACAGAGTATGCAAGTGAGCAAAACATCTGAAACTCTCCATCGTCCCTCACAAATATCAAGTGAATTACCTAATGGTTTTGGTACTTCATGCACGATTTCGAAAGAAAGCCACCTACTTGTCAAACTAAACTAACGAAGATGTGCGCTCTTTAGAAATTTCTTGAGCAACTAGAAAATTATGTCTATCAAGTTTTAAGTTACTGTCTTTTAACTTTCTACCAGAATTACTCTCATTTAAATAGAATTTACAAGTAAATGTACTTTGCTCTATTTTCTTGATTATCTATTAGGGAGTTTTTCTACTGGTCCTTATGATGGTGTCAGTTTCTAAACGTCGAATTTAGTTAAAATTGTATCAGATTGAAAAAGTATAAAGAACGGACAATTTTTTATACATATTTAATGGCTGAAAATAAAAAACTTTCGGCATTGTATTTACTTATTTTTTGATTCTATCAGAGAAGCTTCATATTCATTATAAGTTAATAAGTTTATCATTTCAAACAACAACTTTTTTCCATTCTATTTTTCTTTCTCTCATCTCTTTCTTCTTATTAACGACACACTTTATCACTTTATCATGTTAAATGGTTTGAAACTTTTTTTTCCCGTAATAAATAGCATGTTTTTGAAACTTTTTTAAGTAAATAATATATTTTAGAGGGATTGAAGTAAATTGTATAGTTACTTATAAATATTAATTTGTTAAGTGTAATTAATTTATTTAGTGATAAATACTTGATGTAAATAAATTATTTATGTCAATAAATAAATATTTATTAGTAAATACGCCTTTAATTTACTTCAAACATTTTAAAAATAAAGTATTTACTTTTAAAAACGTGTCAAAAATATTTCAAAAATCTTTATCCTTATTAGTGTACAACTCTGACTAATCACAATTTTATTAAAAAAATTCATTGTTTTAAACTACTAAAAATAAATAATAGTCACATATTTACTCTTTTATATATTAATATTTAGGATAAGAATTTATGGTTTAGGACAGGAAAATAAAAGAAATAAGGAAAACAAAAAAAAGAAAGAAAAAAGATAAAACGGGGAGAAAAAGCAGAAAAAAAGTAAAAAATATACGGGACATAAAAGCTAAAAATAATAGAGCTAAGAAAAAAAAAAGGAACAAAGAAAAGAGAAGAAGAAGAAGAATTTTTGGTGTGAAAATGACGACTAAAGGAAGTAAATTTCTACTCTTTTATATAGTTAGGATTAAGATGTAGCAACTAACAATATTTTTTATCATTGCTTTTTTATTTTTTTTCCAGTGGAGAAATGTGGGTCACGTATTTCTTAATTCTTAGAGGGGATTTATATCTATTTAGTATAATTTTATGAGTTCTCGTAGAATTTTTAAAATGTGTAGTAATTAAATGACTGCTATTTACTAACACTAAGTTACTAACACACTCTAAGGATCATCAGAGCACAAAAAAAAAAAAAAAAAAAAAAAAAAAAAAACAACAAAAAAAGAAAAACTCTAAAGATTATACTGTTAATGATGATTAAAATTATGCTAATTCCCTCTTTCTTCTTAAAAAATTAGAGTTCTTAACATACTAGACCGATTAACGGGGTTAGCGAGATGCTACTTGGCTTCAAGACTAATGCCTGGTTGTTTATTCCTATCAGCTTAGGGCTGCTGGCCCAGCCTACCAAAACACAAGGGTAGTTATATTACACTCTACTCTATATATTTCTCCACTAAATAATGTTCCTTTAATAAAAATTTAAAAAATCTATCATTTTATAAATATAATTTTCATAATATCTAATTTAACCTTTCATACTCCAACCTAATTTTAATCTTAATTTAATTTTCAAAATCATATAATCCCTTTCTACTATTAATATTATATATTTTTTTAAACATTAATGTAATTATCTTTACCTTTATTTGTTTTGTTTTCGTCTCCCCTTCTTCTTCTTACTTATTTATTTTTTATGATGTCCAATAAATAAGAACAAAGCCTCTATAACACACAAGTAATTAGATGCAATAAAAAAAAAACGTGTACACAATGATGTTGATGCATATAAAAGCTCAACAACTATCTAAACTAAAAGTTTTTTTTTTTGCAACATCACTTCCTACCAACTCACAAAGCACTTTGATGCGAGCTATGTAAGGATTTGCCTATCCATATGCACAAAAATAGTGGTGTCTACTCTAGTTTGCAGCAATAGGTGATAAAGAACAACCGGAAATCATAAAGACCTGCACAAAATAATCATAAATTTATTTTTTCTTACCATAAACGTCTAAGAAATTCAATGTCATGGAATGCAAATTTAAGGCGTGAGGGTATGTTTTTTTTTCATTCTTTTAAAGAATTCTTTCTGGCCATAATGAATTTTTAGTGCATGTTTTTTTTTTTTTAAATTTTAAAAAATACTATTTTCCATTTATAGTTAACGTGTGGTATGTTAATAGATTTTAATATAGAATAAAATTGTGATAAATAGAAATTATGAATTAGTGGAGACATTAATGAATTTATGGCATCTTTAATTAATGTATTTAAGTCAGTAATTTTAATATAAATTTAAATTTTGTAAGATAATTATTAATGAAGATTTTTTTTATTCAAAATTTTTAAAGAAAAGAATGATATTATTCAACCAAATAGGCCTAGATGTAAGTATAAAAACTCTTTTATTTTACTGATTTAAATTTTAATACAATAAAAAATTTTAAAAAATAATCATAATTAATTTTTTTAATATAATAAAAAATTTGTGTATAAAATTATATTTTAATTCTAATTAAAAACTCAACCTAATAACTCATAATTACTCGTGACCTAATAAAAAAAAAAAGAAAAAAAGAAAAAACCCAATCTTCCCTTCCTCTGTATTTTTTTTAAACATTAATGTAATTATCTTACCTTTATTTGTTTTGTTTTCGTCTCCCCTTCTTCTTCTTACTTATTTATTTTTTATGATGTCCAATAAATAAGAACAAAGCCTCTATAACACACAAGTAATTAGATGCAATAAAAAAAACGTGTACACAATGATGTTGATGCATATAAAAGCTCAACAACTATCTAAACTAAAAGTTTTTTTTTTGGCAACATCACTTCCTACCAACTCACAAAGCACTTTGATGCGAGCTATGTAAGGATTTGCCTATCCATATGCACAAAAATAGTGGTGTCTACTCTAGTTTGCAGCAATAGGTGATAAAGAACAACCGGAAATCATAAAGACCTGCACAAAATAATCATAAATTTATTTTTTCTTACCATAAACCTCTAAGAAATTCAATGTCATGGAATGCAAATTTAAGGCGTGAGGGTATGTTTTTTTTCATTCTTTTAAAGAATTCTTTCTGGCCATAATGAATTTTTAGTGCATGTTTTTTTTTTTTTAAATTTTAAAAAATACTATTTTCCATTTATAGTTAACGTGTGGTATGTTAATAGATTTTAATATAGAATAAAATTGTGATAAATAGAAATTATGAATTAGTGGAGACATTAATGAATTTATGGCATCTTTAATTAATGTATTTAAGTCAATAATTTTAATATAAATTTAAATTTTGTAAGATAATTATTAATGAAGATTTTTTTTATTCAAAATGTTTTAAAGAAAAGAATGATGTTATTCAACCAAATAGGCCTAGATGCAAGTATATAATATCTTTTATTTTACTGATTTAAATTTTAATACAATAAAAAATTTTAAAAAATAATCATAATTAACTTTTTTTAATATAATAAAAAATTTGTGTATAAAATTATATTTTAACTCTAATTAAAAACTCAACCTAATAACTCATAATTACTCGTGACCTAATAAAAAAAAAAAAGAAAAAAGAAAAAACCCAATCTTCCCTTCCTCTGAAACCCTCCGTCTCCTCCTCCATCCCATCCATGGCACCAAGACGCGCTTCCCCTCTTGACGTACCGCCGGCCGTTTCTTCTTCCGACGAAGAGGAGGAAACTTCATCGGAAGAAGGAGAAACCTCCGAAGATGAGCAGGTTCAAGCAACCCCCAAACCAACGGTTTTATCGCCCAACACCAAGAAGACAGACGATGATTCCGAGTCCGACGCCGAGTCGAGTTCCGAGTCCGAGCCCGCCGACTCGACCGTCAAGCCCATAGCGTCGAAGCCGATGGAGGAGAAGACAGGGGCCAGATCCAAGCCCTCCGTCGCCGCCACGCCGGAGAAAGAGTCGGCGGCGAAGAGGCCGAGAGAGTCCGAGACCACCGCAAAGGATTCGAAGAAGCGGGTGAAGAAGAAGAGCGGCCCTGAAGTGCCTCCTCATGAGGCGGATGGCGACGGCGGAGCAGCGTCTGATGAGGAGCAGGAGGAGTCGAAGAAGTCCGGCGGAGACGACTCCAAGAAGCTGTTCCAGAGGCTGTGGAGCGAGGAAGACGAGATCGTGATACTGAAAGGTTTAATCGACTACGCTGCGAAGGGAGGCGGCGATCCGGCCGCAACCTTCCATGATTTCATCAAGAAGTCGCTGCACGTTGAGGTCACGAAGGCGCAGTTTTCCGACAAAGTCCGGAAGTTAAAGAAGAAGTACTCAAACAACGCGGCAAGGAAGAAATACAACCCTACGAAGCCGCATGAGCAGAACGTCTTCGAGCTCTCCAAGAAGATCTGGGGCGGCGGCGGCAGCCGTGCCGGCGTCTCTTCGCCGAAGTCGAACGGCGCTGCAAAGAGTAATGGAAAGGCTACCCTGGCTTCACCTGCAGCTCCGAAAGAAGGTTCTAGAAAGAGTGAGATTGGTGGGAAATCGAGCGTTTCAGTTCGTTCGATTGAGATGATTAGATTTGGTATGAGGAGCTTACCAGAAGAGGTTGTGATGAAGGGACTCGATTTGCTTCCGGATGCGAAGAAAGCCGAGTTGGACGCCATGTGGAAAAAGCTTCACATTGATGAACTGGAGCTTTTTGTAGAGAAGAATCAGTTGATGAACGAACAAGTCAAGTTGGTCCTCCAGAAGCTCAGGTCTTCTGATCATTAGTGGGTATTGGTGAGGTATAGCCTGTGATGGATTTTTTGCATATTAACTTATAATGGCTTTTGGGCTTCATTTTGCCTTTCAAAAAGGGGGTGCGGGGTGAAGATTGTGTTATGTGCAGTGTTTATTGCTAAATTTGAAGCTTATGGCCTTTAACTATGTGAGTAGCTATCTAATGGAACTGCATATTTTTGTTTACGATATTGGTGCAGCTTTATTGTTCAATATTAGTTTGGTTTTGCTTTAATTGTGGTTAGCATTTCCCTTTCTTTGTTGTGATTGTCTTTGTAGTGGAATGATTTAGATTTATCATTTTCTTTTTTTATTATCATTGATACGATAAGAAAAGAAAAATATAAGCTATAAGCGTTTATGTGATTTACTGAACCTTAATAATCTTATCTTTCTTGCTTTGAGTGCTTCACGTTTAAAAAACGGCGGGGCTGTTAGCCATCAGTTTGTTTGTTTTGATTATTTCAAGTTTGGACTCTCAATCCTTATATTTGTTTGTTTCGAGTATCTCAAGTTTTTGAGAACAATGGGGAATTTAATCTCTTATATTTGCTTGTTTCGAGTATTACCAGATTCTCAAGTTTTGGCAATAGCGCTTCAAATTACAAGGTAATTGCACTACTCTGGCCATCTTCTGTTGTAATTTTGAATCTGTTGCACCAGAATTTCTTCAAATGGATAGGGTGTCCTTATTCTCTTATCTTTTCTATTTAGTCTTTCTTAATCTATGTGCCAAGTGTTGTGTAGTTGAGCTACTACTGTTTTTCGTCTGATTGATAATTGAGTTGAAGAACTATTTGTGCTAACTGGAAGCCTGGCAATCAAAAGGATACAATTACCTCCCATTCCTTTGTGCTACTTATTTGTAATTGTTATCTTTTTTGTTTTGTTTTGAAAGGAGTAATTATTATGCTTTTGATTGTATATGTGAGCTAAATATTCTTGTGTCATATATGAGCTAATATTCTATCGTGTTTGTTCGTTTTTGCCTAAACTTTCCTGTATGGTACATTTTCTGCCCATTCATTTCCTTCTTGTGTGATGGCTCTCTCTTTCAAAAAGCATTATTCAATTTTAAAACATTTGGGTTGGTTGGTACCAAAATAATAGAGCTGGACAATTTCTATTTCAGAATAGTATAGAAGAAGAAGCCAGAAAGAAAAGAAGAGTAATTCTTTATTGCTCCTTATTGATGAATTGATATAGTACAGCTTTAGCAGAGCTTCCAGGGCCTGCAATCCTACCTTGCTTGGAATATTCTCCAAGACTTTCCAAGACCAATTCCTAGTTCTTAAAACTAGAACTAACTAAGTCAGCCCTCCATAACAACATCCTAACCAACTCAACTGACTAACAAACACCTTCAATCACACTTCCATATTCCTATTAACAAAAACCTGTCTAATTAAAGGCTTATGCTTATAATTTGTCTTCTCTCATTTGCGTTGCTTGGAGCTGGTCATTTTTTCGGCTAGCGGTTTTCAAGTTTGTCTCTTCTCTCAGTCGCTCTCTTTCTGTATATGTTTGGTACTTGGTTTTTAGAGTTAACCTTATTTTCAGAAACTAACTACTCTATGATGGAATGAAAAATTAACTTGCATCTTTTGGTTTCAGTTTCTTGTGTTGTGACCCTGGCATTTTTTATCCTTAATTCTTGGTTATTCTAGCTAACCAAAGGTCAGCCTACGTTTGCATTTCCAGCACACAAATTCACAATGAAATAGCTGCTATTCTGGGTTATTCTTCTCGTGGCTTCTTTTTATTTACTTTGTGTTCGATCTTGTTTCGTTCTTCGTTTGCTCGAGACCCAACCCCCGTTATAAGTGTGTGTTTCTCACTAATATGAGGACTGTTTGATCGTACTGATGGAAGAGGAATCTGGAGGGAGGGTGTTGGTAAATTAGTTTGGGAATTGAGTTCTGATTTTTGTAAACAACTGAGTCCCTGTATTTGGGAAGACCGAGATCGTCAATTTCGATTGGTGGGTTAGCCAGATCGATTGTGCCACACTCAACAGATGCGATGCGAGCTGAATTTTGGTGTCGGGTAGAGCAAAGTAAAGAACTTAAATTTTTTTCAATCCAACTATAGAAACCTTCAATTACTATTAACCTATCATGGTGATCAGTTCAAACTGTGAAATTGAAATTGATATAAATTCCCCGGAGTTCGTCATGGAAATAGCCTGAGCACCAGAATAGTGCTTATATTCAAAATTCACCATTCTGAAATTCAATTACTTAGAAAAACAAAACTTGGCAATATTCATATGACTAACCAATGTTGGGGATTTTGGTTGGTGGATGGTAGTATAGTAACTCAAATATTGAAAATAGAGAGGAAAGACGGATGAGGAATAACTCAAATATTGGAAGGTGCCAAGAAAAAGAATATATATGACTAAGTATATTATAAACCTATTTGTGTCAGTATCCCCTCATGTAATTGTACGGTTTTGGATTTGATGTAATATAACTAAGCATATATATGACATATACATGTATATGTTTGTGCATTTGACAGTCCATTCCTACACAGCATAACATAATCACCATCTATGTGTTGACGTTTATTTGACCATCTTTACGTTGGCTTAGATCTAGCTGTGAAGGGTCACATGATCATCATCTGACCGAGCACATTTGTGGGCGTCTGTTGGGCCTGAGTTTCCACTAGATGAATGGTGATCTCTACATCGCTGACGCCTACATGGAGCTGCTCGTTGTCGGGGCTGAAGGCGGCTTGGCCACCCGGGTGGTGACTCAAGCACAAGGAGTTCCATTTGCATTTCCCAACGGTTTAGACATCAATGATGAGAATGGATTAGTCTATTTTACTGATAGCAGTTCTCGTTATCAAATGAGGTATATCATACACAATCTTTTACGTTCTCTTTCAGTTAGACTAGTTCTAACTATGCAATGATTTTTTTTGGTTGGATTAATCCATTAGTCAATGAGACTTGGCCTTTTTCTTTAAGAAAAAAAACCCAACCCGGTGAAAGTGGGATTTGATCGAAGTCTATTACAACGTTATGTTCTAGATAAATGTGACATATTGAGAAAAATTGAATCACAAACATCATGATCATGAATCCATATCTGTTAAAGTTCTTCAAAATATGTAAAATTGGAATTTCTTTTTGGTTGCTTTTTACCCCCAACAAGTTTTATGTTCATTTTACAGTTTCGGCGCTTTTACCCCCTTAGTTTTTTGGACTTTTGACAGCTTTCTTTGAATTTCTAATTTTGACGATTCATCCCACCAATTTGTCAAAATGTAATATTATAATGTGGCTTTACTAATTTTGTATTGAATTTTGGTCGATCCGAGGGATTAAGAATTGTGAAATTGAGATGTTGTGTTAGAATTTAAACTGAGAATATGGAATTTTTAGTCTGACATGCTTGTGGTTACCAATTAACACAATCATCAACAAAATGAGCCTCGTCCCCACAATTTATCTAAGGGAAAACACTAATAAGTTTGGGATAGGAGGCTAATTAACAAATTAGAAGTTTACGAGACAAGTTGTCAAATGCTGAAAAATTTTGGGTGCAAATGTGCATAATACAATCATTTTTATATTTTTATCATTTTTTTAATGTGCATAAAACTGTTTTTTTATGACGTGTATTAATTTCTTATGTGCCATTACTTGTACAAATTGGAAGCCTCTCTTGATCATTAAAAAATCTTGCGTCCTTACATGATTTGCAATGTTCCAGAAACTACCTTTCCGTTAGATTAAGTGGAGACACAACCGGAAGATTAATGAGTTATGATCCTCAAAGCAAGCAAGTAGATGTTTTACTTAAAAATCTCTCATTCCCAAAAGGGGTGGCACTAAGCCAAAATGGAGATTTCCTTTTGATTGCAGAGACCACGTCTTGCAGGATCATGAGGTATTGGCCAAGAACTCCCGAGGCTGGGACTTTTGAAGTCTTTGCACAATTGCCAGGATTTTCAGACAACATAAAGAGGAGTCCAAGACGAGGAATTCACTCAAAAAGAAAAAAGGTCTTTGAATTGATTCTTTCATACCCAAGTATAGCAAAAGCCATTCTTAAGCTTCGATTTGATGTAATGAAGGCGTACACATGTCTGGCTAAGTGGAGAGGAAGAGGGTTGATGATTAGGTTGAGTGAGGAAGGTGTTGTGTTGGATGCTTGAAGACAAGAGTGGTGTGAAATGGAAAGCTGTTTGGAGATGGGAATCTTTGGATAGGATCTATACATAAACCTTGTGCTGGAAAGATCAAATTTCGTCCAACACTTATCCAACGTCTCTAGACTAAAAATTTAGATTGAATAAGCAAATTATCTAAGGAAATTTAAAGAACATTCGAAGAACACAAAGAACCTCAGAAAAAGTAATAAGAATAAAGTGAAGACAATCATAATAGAAATAAGTGTGTATCTTTTCGTCTCAAATTGAGGAATAGTATATTGAAAATAGAGAGTTTTTCTCTTTTTAATACAATACGGCTCTTCACCACTTTTGAGTGTTAAAAAGAATTAATAAACGCATTAAACTTGAGTCATTAAATACATTTAATCGTTTTTGACATTGAGGCTTGGTAACGCTTGATCTTCCAACTTTTTTCCTGCCTCAGCGTACGCTCGGGTGGCTTTCCTACGTACGCTCGAGTGGTTTCCCTAGCATACGCTCGGGTGTTATCCGAACGTATGTTCGGGTCGCCTGAAAACTTATTACATTTTATTAGTTCCGAAAGCGCCGGGCCAGTACGAACATTTCAAAAAAAAAAATTTATTTGTTTTTATCTTTATTAGTGTACATTTCTGACTGATCATAATTTTATTAAAAAAATTCACAGTTTTGAACTACTAAAAATGAATAATAGGGACATATTTGCTCTTTTATATATTTACAATTTAGGACAAGAATTTATGGTTTAGGACATGAAAATAAGAGAAATAAGGAAAACAAAAGAAAGAAAAAAGATAAAGACGGAGAACAAACAGAAAAAGAACAAAAGCTGCACGGGACACAAAAATTAAAAATAATAAAGCTAAGAAAGAAAAAAAGGAGCAATGAAAAGAGAAAAACTAAAACAAGAAGAATTTTTGGTGCGTAAATGATCCTTTAATAAAAATTTTAAAAATCTATCATTTTATAAATATAATTTTCATAATATCTAATTTAACATTTCATACTCCAAACTAATTTTAATCTTAATTTCATTTTCAAAATCATATAATCCCTTTCCACTATTATTGTTATATTTCTTTTTTAAACATTAATGTAATTATCTTTACTTTTATTTATTTTGTTTTCGTCTTACCTTATTTTTCTTATTTATTTATTTTTTATGATGTCAATTAAATGGGAACAAGAAACCACAAAGACCTATACAAAAAAATAGTAATTTTTTTTTTCTTATCATAAACCTCTGAGAAATTCAATGTCATGGAATGCAAGTTTAAGACGTGAGGGTAT